CACACACACACACACACACACACACACACACACACACACACACACACTCCTCACCCTGACGGAACCACTTCCTCCTCCAACACTCATGTCTCCTCCGGTGACAAACCGGCAACAGTTAGTTCTCCTGCAGTTCGGCGGGGAGTCGGAACCGAGCCGGACTAGGACGGGTTCCCCGCTGCCTTCCGGGCCGTTAGAAGAACTTGCCTCTCCGGACTTCGTCAGGTTTTACTCTGAACTGGAACCGAACAGGGGGAGGAGGAGAAGGAGAAAGTAACACGACAGCTTCCTCGTCTGAAGGCGGAGCCGGAAGTCCCGGAAGTCCCGCCCCCTCAACCGTCACTCTCAGGAGTTATGCAACAGTTTCACGCTTAAAGAAATCTCCTTTAGAAACGAACTAAAATCAGCTCAATGTTTGTGTTTTGGTTTAATAAACGGTTTGAATGAAAGGCCCGGTGTTACTGGGTGAATTCACGTCACCTGCCGCCTTTACGGCAGGTTTAAACTGATGTGTTGAAACACGACAGGTGGGTTAAATCTCGCGTCATATCGCGAGATCTCAGTCTGAGCTGAGACTTCAACCCACAGCAGGTTTCAAAGTTTGGTTTTTAGCTGTGAAGGTCATTTTTGATTAAGTTGACCTGAAGAGTAGGTACAATTCCTTCATGAGATATTTTGCTAACTGACTAATTAGAACAGAGGTTCTCAAACTAGGGTCCCTGGACCCCAAGGGGTCCGCGAGAGGTATCTTGGGGGTCCTCAAACATTTTTACTAAAATGTTAATTTGGTTTTTGTTTTTTAAAATGCATGGAGAACAATGAACTAATAAAACAAACAATAAACTTAATACAAATATATATTCTCATGACATTTAGGGGTTGAAATGACAATAAATTATCTTTTAAAACAGCGTTTGGTTTTATGAGGGGGTCCCTGGAATTTGTTTTCGTCCTTGTAAGTGGTCCTCAGACCCAACAGGCCTGAGAACCCCTGAATTAGAAGACAAAATGTCAGTGTTGCAAGATATTTCAGTTTAAAAAACATGATTTTTTTCAGGTAAATCACTGTTTTACAGTTTTGTACATTTTTTATATTAAACTTTTCTCTGACAGGTAAAAAGAATCAGAACCGGTCTCCTTGTTGATTTATGTGTAGAAAAGGAGAACTGAGGCGGCTCCAGTTCTGTTCAGTAAACAGAAAAAAATGCAAAAAAAAAAAAATTTCACAGAACTCAAACTATTTATAAATCAGCTGCAGCTGCTGGAAAAACTTTAGTTTCACTTTCGACGTGATTTGACTCTAAAATTTCATCTTCCTGAAAATAAACTTTTATTTCTCAGAACAAAGATTGTTTAATTAAACAAACTTGTTTTTAATTTGAAAACAGGAACAAGTTCTCTGAGTTTCTGTGATTTTAACCTGTAAAGTTTGGACCTAAATAAATTTAGTCATTTTTAGACAAAACTACACAAAGAACAGGGTCAGTGATCTGAGTGGATTTTAAATGTTTTTTAGAAAATAAACATTAATTACATTTTAAAATAACACATTTCTGTAAAACCTCCTGCAACCAGTCAGGATTACCTTCAGTTAAAGATAAAATGTGAGAAAAACAATTTTTATTTTATTTCGTGTTTTATTTGAATATTTATCAGAACTTTATCTTGTTATTTGAATATTTGTGCAGAAAAACAAACAGTCAGACATGAAATCAATTTATCTGGTTTCTTCTCTGAAAAATAACTCCTGAAAACTGAACGAGCAGAAGAAGGGGGTTGTTTTGATCCGTGACCCGGCTGAAGTCCAGTTCTTGTATCTGAGAGTCAACAAGCGCTGGCAGGTCACAGCGTTCAAACTATTTTTGGACCGGAGGCCTTGGACTCTTGGTCCGGTCTGTCTCGGGTCACCTCTGGTCCAGAACCGACCCTGTCCTGCGAGGACGCCGCCGTCCGTCCATCTGCCTGAAACAGGAAGAAGAAAGCAGCGTTTCCTGTCAGCAGAGCCCGATAAAGAGACATTTCAAACATTTAAAGTGAGGTTC